TGTATGTCTGTGTATGTTTGTGTATGTCTGTGTATGTCTGTTTATGTCTGTGTGTGTCTGTGTATGTCTGTGTATGTGTATGTCTGTGTGTGTATATTTGTGTATGTCTGTGTGTATGTTTGTGTGTGTATGTGTGTGTATGTCCGTGTGTGTCTGTGTATGTCTGCGTATGTCTGCGTTTGTATGTCTCTGTGTGTATGTCTGCGTATGTCTGTGTATGTCTGCGTATGTCTGTGTATGTCTGTGTATTTGTGTGTATGTTTGTGTATGTCCGTGTATGTCTGTGTATATCCGTCGATGTTTGTGTATATCCGTCTATGTCTGTGTATCCGTCTGTGTCTGTGAATGTGTTTGTAGGTGTCTCCGTATGTCTGTGTCTGTGTCTGCGTATGTCTGTGTATGTCTGTGTGTGTATCCGTCTATGTCTGTGTATCCGTCTGTGTCTGTGTCTGTGTCACCATCTGTCTCTGTATGTCTGTGTCTGTGTCTGTCTCTGTTTTTGTCTCTGTGTCTGTCTGTGTCTCCGTATGTCTGTGTCCATGTCTGTCTGTGTCTGTGTCTGTCTGTATCTGTCTGTGTGTCCGTATGTCTGTGTGTCCGCGTCTGTCGGTGTATCCGTGTGCGTCTCTGTCCGCATACGAGGGTTGGCTACTGGGTGCCATAATTTCTTCGATTCAATGACATCGAAACGAATCCGGCACGCAGTAGTCAACTTGGACATGTCCGTGTCTGTGTGTGTGTGTGTCTGTTTGTGTGTCCGTGTCTTTGTCTGTGTCCCTCTCTGTGTCTGTGTGTATCTGTGTTCATGTATGTCTGTCTCTGTGTGTCTGTGTCTTCGTGTATGTGTCTGTTCCTGTCTGCGTACGTCTGTGTCCTGGGAGTGCATGTCTGTGTATATCCATGTATGTGTATGTCCGTATGTCCGTGTCTGTGTATGTCCGTGTGTCCGCCTGTGTCAAACGGACACACAGACATACACAGACACGGACATACGGACATACACATACACGGACATACACGGACATACACAGACGTACACTGATATACACAGACATACGCAGACAGGAACAGACACAGACAGGGGGACACAGACACACAGACATAGTCAGACATGCAGGAAAGACACACACAGACGCACACAGACACAGTCAGGAAGTGTGTTTGTGTATGTCTGTGTGCCTCGACATGCCCGTGTGTCACATTAAGTCACGGAATGTCACAAAGACGGGAAGTATGATAATCACTTCCCTTCACCACCGTAGACGTCAAGAGTGTGCATGCTGTAGTCATAAAACGAAAACAAACAGAGGGAGAGCAGGACATGGGATATAGGACGAAGAGAGTGCACATGTTGTAGGGAGAAGAAAACAAACAGAGGGAGAGCAGGCTTGAGTTTCAAGGTACACAGGCAACCATACCTTTGTCGACGAATGCAACGGCGTACACTGTAGATTGAATGCTTCAGAAGATGCAGATTTTGGTTTGATAATTCT